GTGGATGTGCGGCTGGGGCAGGGCAGGTGAGGAGTTTCTCCTGGTATTTCTCCTCCAGGGCAGCGCTGCCTGAAACAGAGATAGAAAGGGGAAGCGCATCACTCAGTGCTCAGGGACAACTTTCACGTGTTACCTCTTCCTGCTTCTGGGAAGGGAAATGGGAAGAGAAGGGCTTGCTCAAACGAAGTCCTGCCCAGCACCCACTCTCTGAGGGAGGCGGCCTAAGGCCAGATGGGGTGTTAGGGGTCTGGACGACGAACTCACTGGGTGGTCAAGGTGATGATTTTAAGAAAGTTGCCCTCTGCCCTACCACCACCGGCTTGTGAAAGTTTCACCGAAATTTCCCCGCACACCCTCGCTGGAGGCCGCTGGCCTCGCGAGGGAGCAGAGGTTTCAAAATAAAGTTGTCTTGAGAGCCCGCGCTTGGCGGGGTGCCCCGGACGCCCCCGGCACAGAAGCGGCCTGGAGGGTGGCGCGCCCGGGCAGCCCCGCCCGCCGGCCGCCGCCGGCCCCGCCGGAGGCGCGACAGCCAGCCGGCCCGACGGGGGAGGGTGCCGCGCGCCGAGGGCGCGGGGAGGGGGCGCGCTCGAGCCGCGGGCCGGGCCGTGCGCGCGCCGCCGCTCGGGCTCCTTTGTTCTGGGGCCTCCGCTGCTCGGCTCCGGCGGCTCCGCAGCCCCCGCCCCGCCCCGCCGCCCCCGCCCGGCTCCGCTACACTGTTACCCGCAGCACCCGCGCCCGGTCCCCCGCAACAAAGTAGCTGCCCCCGGCCGGTCCCGGGCCCGCCGCCACGCCGCCCCTCCCACCCGGAGCCGGAAAGGCACCGACTGCACCGACCTGCCCGCCGCTCCGGGCGGAGCGCACAAAGGGGCAAAGTTTCCCGGCCCGCGCCGCCGCCGCTACCACCGTCGCGGCCCGCCCGCCACCTGGGGCGCCCGCCTCCCGGAGCGCCCGGCCCGGCTGAGCTCGGCGCCACAGAGCCCCCGCCCGGGCCGAGGAGGGGACGGCGCAGGAGGAAGGAAGAGGCAGCGGCGGCCGCGGCGGCAGCAGCAGCTATGAAGGCGTCCGCGGGACTCCCCGCCCCCCGCGCGCCGCGGCACTGCTGCTCGCCCGGGACTCCCCCGCCGGGAGGGCGCGCACGTGCGGCCGGGCCGAGCCCCGCCGAGCCCTGCAGGCCCAGCCGCCGCCCCCCCTCCGGCCCCGGGCCGCACTAGGTGGGAGTTCCCGCGGAGGGGGAGGGGTCGGAGCTGGCGGCCTGGGAGCGGGTGGGGGCAGGGTCCGGCTCGGCCGCGGGGCTTTGCACCTGCAGTACCTCCCCCCCCCGTGGGACCTCCCGGGACGCAGCTACCGCCTTCCGGCTATATAAATGTTCATTGTTTATCTAACTTCAAGTTCACCCACAAGTTCTTGATTTTTACTTGCTAAATCTGGCAACCCTACTCTTGAGGATTTTTCAGCTTTAATGTTGGTGCCCCCATCCCAGGGGTACCCACAGGAAGCAGCAGACAGACCTGGCACCTCTGGAATACTGCATAAAGGAATTTACCTGTTTATTTCTAAAGAGGACTCTCATGGTCAAGGTGCAGCTGTCTCCTTGTGCCCCAGAGACATTTTTAGAAAAACCCACTGCATTTACCTTTTCTACACAGACCAGCCATAAGCTTATAAACCTCAGCTCTTCACCCAGGCCTCCTGGGTTGCTTCTGGGCTTCCTGCACCTCCTTTGTCCTTCTTCCTTTTTCTAGCAACCACAAGGCTGCTCTTGGGCCTGTGGATCTGGGGAGATTCTGTCGAGTTCCCACCACTGCCTCGCTCAGGTGCCCTCAATCCACTGCATGCTCCTGTTTGAGTGGCCAATCTCTTAGTTCCCCTGTGGCCTCTTTCTGCCTTTAACACACTATTTTCTGTCCTACCGATTTTCGATTCACTGTAAGTAATTAGACTGTCATCCAGAAGCTAGTTGTTAAAATTCAAGTTGAGTTGTAGTTTGAGATG